GCTAAAGCCGTTTAAATGAAATCGTTTCCAAACCATACTGTATATTTAAGACCATGCGACAAGCGTCGCGCTCGTCATCCCAGAAAGTGCGTGCCATCCAAATATGGAAGCACAGCTGAGAAACGTATGTTGACAGCGTAGGGGACTACTATGATGGTGAGAGTGCTTAAAGTATTTTACAAAGAGAAATACAGAGTTTAAAGTGAAGTTTGGTATTTTTGAACACGTCTCCTATATTCTGGTTGCTAACATCCTGAACAGTGTAATACTTATCGTCCCAACTCAGACTACAGTTGTTTGAAGATTCTGAATATCTGCTGCTGGTCTACATTTGTTTATCAATGTGAACGCCAATGAAATGCAATTAAAAATTAATTGGCTATCACCGGTAACCTTTTTGGATAAATATCAAAGAACTTGAAGACAAGCATCCATTAAATTTTTGCCTTTTTAAGTCAATGTCAGATAACTTAATACATCGGATTAAGAAATTAGCCAATCATTCGAGCATCTTCAGTTGTCTTTGCCCACTTGTTTTTAATTCTGTCTTGATGTGTACCAGTTAACAACGATTTTTACTTACGCCTTTTATTAATATAAGTTTATAATGCCTGCTGAATTCTTTTTAGTATGTACGACAGGATTAAGTTTCGGATACTTTATTTCTCGTTTAGATTGGCGATTACTGCGTTTGAGGTGCAGCTTTTGAACAGCTATAATTTTGCTCGTGACTAACCCAGCACACTTGATGGAAAATGACGACTGCACTGGGTTGAAAACTACGGAGGCTGCTTTCAACGTATATCTTTTAAATATGATCCATAAAGTTTACTGTGTCCTATAAGGGAATTGATAGCAATACTTTGGGTGCTAATTTCTTTTTGCGTCCATAGAACTGTTGTCGTTTATCTACTGTATGCTAGGCGACTTTAAAACCGTGTAAATTGCTGAATATTGGTTGCGACAAAGGCTTCGCACTGGCCTCTGTTACATAGATAAACCACAGCATCAGATCCCACTCTCAGTTTGCTACTTGCAATTGCTATACTATCAATAATCTCACACCAGTCGATGATATTTGGCCAAATATGTTTTATCAAGCGCTAAGATATCAAAACCAGTGTGAACGGTATGAAATCCTCTGTCACAAATTCCTGCTCACGCCCTAGTCATGTAGTCTGTTAGCTAGTTCGTCTCATAATCTGAATGCATTAAGTTCAGTTCTCACCTGTGGCAGCGGCTTTCGCGATCTCCCCCTCACAGGATCTTAAAGTGCCAAATATTCTTTTTGCTGAAATGGCATCTTGGTTGGCCTACTCTTAGTACCATGGCATTCATTTCTTGTTATCCGGAAGATCTCAGATTGTTCTGCACAGCGGATGATCTATATGTCCGTGACATATTTCTGTCAACGCGAGCGAAACAAGAACCACTGGAATTTACGTTGTACTTCTTCTGCACTCGAATTAGCAAAAGCAACACACCTCGTGGAAATGTATTCTTTACGCTTACGCAGTATTGCTTATTACAGTGAAGAAGATTGTCTTATAACTCATTACTGGAAGTGGATATTATTATTTAAGGATATCTACCTGTAAAACCTAACTAGCAATTCCCTCATCACTTCCAAAGTCAGCTGGAATGTTTCACCTTACTCGCGCAGAATAAGTAACCAGTTTCGACGGATTTCGAAGTAAGAAGTTACAACAAAGCTATTCCTTAGTCAAGACGCAGCTCCCTGTCTTGAGATGCTGATCAATGTCTTGTTTAGTCTAATTACAAAAAATCTGAAAATAGAACAGAAATATTAAAGTAAAGCCTCGTTGTTCTGGCAAACTCTACAGCGTTTTAAAATCTGTGCACTTATCTTACATTTTGTTTAAGTGCACGAACTGTGTTTTGGTAAATAAGGATATCTACCATATTTGCGTTGCTATCCGCGGATAGAGGAGCCATACGTACTATCAGCCTCCGTCTCCACAAAAGCTGCTGGTTCATGCATATAGGAGCAGGAAAAAATAGCTGAACGATTCTGATTGCTCTGTGTTACCTCATTTGCAATTGCTCCCCTGTTTATTTCTAAAAATGTAATTATGCAATGTCAAGGAAAGGAAGTACCATTATTTGATCTGTTCCTCTTAGGGAACAGCTTCTCACATCGTAAAGGAATAGACAATTTGTTTATTTATTTAGTTATTTGTGTCCCATGTCAAACACAACTGGTAATTTCTCCACTCAATTTAGTGCTTATTTGTGCAGTCAGTTTGAAATCTGCTTCCATTTACCACAGGTGCTTTCCCAATTATAATTCGGATTACTCCGTTTGTTCTGTAACCAAGTCATCTACCTTTTTTCAACGCTGAAACTAGAGTGACATTAAGATACGCAAACATTTTGATCACTATCCTTATATATATTTTTGCACCAGTCTACGAATAGACGTGAAGTAATTAAGTCCATCGAGGTCAAAGGCAAGTGCAGTTGTCGCAAAAAGAAAACTGAGCACAACACATGAAATCCATGGATTCATTAGATTACACGATGCTGCCCGGTTCCCAAGTTGAGATAGAAGGATTGAATTAGGGGACACCACCCCGAGCCTGTTCGAAAGGCACCGAAACGAATTGAGGGAATCGCACCCATTGGGAACTTTTGACTGATTGCTCAGTTCATAAGAATTTCGTTTGGACGCTTGCCAAACCGCTGTCGCATTCGCCACCTAATTTCAGCATCACGCTGCTTCAATACAATTCTTCACCAGAGTGGAGCAATAGTCAAAACTTTCTTTAGGGGTTAATCACCTTCGTTACTTCGCAGTGTTGTTAAACGGACGTATTTTGCTTTTATTGGGAGGACGCTTGCCGGACAAATACCCACCACTATTTAGAACACGGTTGCCGAACTATTTGCTGGAACGGGAGAAACCCGAACCACCCAGCCGGTGCCAAGCGGAGGCCAGCCATTTATGTCGTTAGTCACAAACGTAGTACGCACAGCATGTAAGCGGTAAACCTACGTTAGTGAAATAAATGCAAAATCAAAATCAGGAACAAGAAAATCTAACGGACCCACAATACATTTTGTGCGCACCGATCCGGACGTTTCTTCTTGATTGACAACGCTTCATCAAGGACCAGTCGTTTCGGATTCCTATCGTACGTGAGTATTTTGTACGCGTGGCCACGTGATGACGAGTGCTCAAAAAGTCCACTTTACTAAAGGAGAAAGGGCTCCGCCTAGCTACCTGATCTGCTCCGCCGTGTTTGGATTTCAACTATCACAATCACCTTGGTAGTTGTTCGGCCACCCTTTTAGTCAGTGAAGGTTCAGTCTTATTAACGTATAGTCATCATACCGGCGGGTAGACCGGTAGATAATTTGAGAGGCCAGGATGCACGACAGACTTCAGGGATGTTGGAGACATGTTGTGTGGATAAGTTGCACAGAGACGGTTGCAAAGTGCTTTTGAGAGCATTCCTTAGCATGTGCCAATGTTGCTTTCGAGCCCAGTACCTATGAATACAGAAACAAATAAACAAATTTTTTCTGTGCGGTGTACACCGGTAGCTTCAATTTGACTGCAGTTTATATTACCAATGTCGTTTAGTTCACAGACGTTTTTTACACGTATGTGAATTCACCTCCTACAGTTACTGCGTCTGCGATTGACGAGAGCAGGCGAAATGTTACTCTGTCGCAGTGTTCGACAACCATCGCGTTGATGATTTTGTTTAATGGGACAAATTTTCAAACTGCTTGCTTTTGTCCAACATCTGATCACGCCATACATATACGAATTTCGATTTTTCAAAACCATAGTTCATTCAGTTTCCTTCATGTACTCTTGTGCCATTTCAATTTAAAAAACCGGCCCGTTTTCGCAGTAATCTGATCAACCGTTTTGTATATCTTCTTTGTAAGGGTGTGTCTAATGGTCATTTATGAAGTGCACGTTCTACCACGCAGATGCAAACGTTTTGTTACCTTTATAATTTTCATCTGTCCTTCCGATGCTGACAGTTCTGCGTTAAGGCCCCAAGTGTACCTTGCGGTGGGCGAATACTTAGCATGTCATGTTATAGACGTAATAAGTCCGCAAGATGTTAATTCACTGAGAATACTACTTTGAACTCTAGCAATATTTGAACTCGTGAAACGTTGAATAAGTTTACCTTTGAGATTGCATGTTACTATTTACGCGGCTGTTCAGACCCATGGTACAAGAGTTTCACTTGTCTATCTGAATTAACATGCAGAAATTCAGAAGTTAGCTAAACAGGTCAATTGCTTCTTTTTCAGTAACAATTGGTACTGAATAATTACATAATCAGGATAGTATGCCATTAAATACTTTTAGTCACGGGTGCAACGCAGTTGTAAATCATGTCAGTTGGTGCTAAGAAGCGTGATTCTTGGACATTAAAACATCGGTTACCAAATGATGTGGTGCAAGTTGAGTAAGTGTCCTATGACAGCATAATTCGAAGGTTTTATTCGCATTTTATACTTGAAAACTCTCTCCTCTGCCATTTCGCGATGTTTATCTTCTTTATTTTTACTGCAAAATGCATTCTGCTCTCGGCTTAGCTAGTTCTCAAACATCTGAAGTCATATCCTGTGCTTACGGGAAAACGAGAACTGCTACCTCTTAATGTAGGAGTGTGAAAAGTGAAGAGCGACCACGAACGTGCCTGAGGAAACAATATTCAGGAATTACGTAGCGAAAGTTTATCACTACACCCAATAATTAGTAGCAAATTAATGTTTTCAGAAAGATAAGGCGCTGTGGAGAAAATATGAGTGGGACCAAAGAGATACGGATAAGAAATCGGTTCGTTTTATGCTCCGACGGCTATAGGCTTCCATTTATTGTGGTCGGTCTATACACGAAGTGGGTCAAATTGGAATAGACTTTTGAACATGCTTTTATGATACAGACACATTTCGAACGGAAGCAACGTATAATTGACAAAAACATGTGTATTGTATTCTATCTTTAGTCCAGGACGGCAATTGCAAACGACAAGCGTGGTCACTTTGCATCGCGGGAACACTGGATTCGGATTCCAAATCAGGGGTCGTGGAACAACTGGGGAAGGTGAGTACTGAGTAAATTTGCTTAAGAGGAATCGATTTGTATTAGTTTTAGCTAAGCGGATTTCACAAATTTACACGAAGAACGTTTAGATGGTTCCACGCACTGCAGATACTGTTCCCCCCAGAACGTTTTCGTGGAAATAACGATGTCTAAGCGGGAATACATTAATGGCTTGTTAAGATAAAAAGTCATATTTTCACTTGACTATGTCTAATTTGACAAAATAAAAGTCTGGTGCCAAATCGGAGTTATCTTTGGATACAATTTACTCTACACTTCGCGGAGTTTTGATTCAAGCATCAGGTAACAGCGGCATGGTGAGTTCTGTTTGCTTTGACATACCTTATCAAGTAACGTTCAGGTGATATTGCTTCTGGGTGGGTGTCCCTCGAGTTACCTAATAGAATGTGTAATTTTGAGGTTGGCACAAATATATTTGAAAAATGGTATCATTGGTTGAATCACACGGATAGTACAGTTGTTGTAGCGATGGTGATGGTGACCATATTAATCCAAAAAACTTTGATAACGGTCCATTTGGTTAATATTTTACATTTCAGTATGCGATGGAAAGTATTTTTAGAGGCTTTTCCAAAGTCTTCTATTTATGCTGTCTCTATAAGCATTTGTCGGCATTCTAATAACTTGAGTCACACTGAGCATAACAATAAATGCAAGCGATGAGGATACTCCTTTATTATCAGTGAAAGAACCTCAAGGAAACTAAGGTGGTAACTAAGCCATTCGTGAATAGTAAACCCGACTATAGAACCGGACGTAGGTGTTCGCTAGTTTATGGATAACTATTGAATCACGGCCCACAAAGGTCAATCACAAAAATGGTAAGATGTTCTTGGCTATCTCCAGCTATCCCAGGTGATCCTGCACAAGTGTCACCTCAATTGAGAAATGTGCTTTAAAGCAATTTTTTGCCATTTACAATTTACGTCATTAACCACTTCAAACAGCATCATGTCTTGAGCTTACAACGCATTTGTACTGCCAAAACCACATTGAGTAGCAGTGCCGTTACCCGATGTTCGTTGACCTGTTGGTATCTCACAAATTTTCGGTTTATTAGAGAGTAGTGGGGAGATTTATGCTGTCTGCGAATATTCGCCGTAAATAGACTCTGCCAGGCAGCCATCACACATACAACAGCACGCTAGACGACTGTTTTATCCGGTTGCGACTCATCACTGCGTGCATCTGTCGGGTAACGCTGGATCAGAACCCATGATCTTAAGCTAACAAATCAGTGGCTTATACCACTGAGCCATGTGCGACGGTGGCGGACCTCTTGGTGGATTTCTAACTGTGGTAAAATGTGGCTTATCCCCACTGTCATGCATGTTGTGTAAATGAAGCGGACAGGGCTGGCTCCTTGTCAGAAATCAGTCACGATACTCCACCACGGTTACTTGATAGCTCAGTAGAATATTTTGATCCGTAGGATGCGCTACCGATGGGTCGAAACAGGACAGTCCGATCGTCTGGTGTTTTCCTGAATGTGTGGTCGCTGTCGGACTGTGTCTAGCTGCAGTAACTTTTATCAAAATAATTGGTTCGTCCATCACATTTTTATTACTTTGAAGCTCGTTTTATTGAACCAATCATGTACAAATAATCTACACGTGCGCCTATCCATTAACCGACATTTTTATGCCCCACTTTGCCAACGAACTCATAACGGCAGCGGATGATATCCATTCTGAGACATAAGCTACTAGTGTGCATGGCCTACCGAAATCTTTTAAACTGATGGAAGTGAAAACTTAGAAGTAGCGGTATCAGGTTACCAGCATTTGTGTCAGTTTCGCGAGTGAAAACGCCTTTCGTTGTTCCTGACATCCAAAATACAAACGCTAACAGATCTCTTTAAAACGATCTATTATGTTTTTAACGACAGATTTTGTTCAACCGAAATCTGACACCAGTATCTAAAATTGATGTATACATGGATTGATCAGGACTGTTTAGATACTGTTCCACCGTAAAAACTGATTAGTTTTGATACATATTTTGATAGTCGATTTATCCTGCCTCTAAACAATGTGAGAACCATTTGACGAGCGATAGTTTATTGACTGCAGCATAGTTCCAGTGTTTGGTACATAAGATTTCACATATCACAGTAACCGTTCTTTGGTACAGATCTTGCTAACATTTAAAACAGTCGGAAGCATCATTCCGAAAACTTGACGATGTGACATGCATTTTTATTTGCATGATATTATTTTAAGGTGGCAAAAGTCATTGGATTATGTCGCACGGGGATAAAAGTGATGAGAATGGAAAGAAATAAAAAAGCTGTACTAGACTTGTTCTTTGATCATTTTAGTCAGAAGCTGAAAAATCATGAGTGATTCACCTGACAACACCCTTGTTGCTACTAGGTTTGTTAAAACGTGATCCACTTTGGGTAACAATGTATCTTATCTACCGCATAATTCTAGTCGCATATTTATAAAGCCTTATCCAGATGCCGGTTCCAGACACTTAATGTAGCCGTCTCTGTCAGCTTTTCCTCGCCTGGACCGTTCAGTGTGGAAACATGTGATCCACAAGTCGCTGCTTATTTTTCAGTTGGTGCGACGACTGAGTGGCTCTTAAATCATCAGGTTGTTAAAACGTCCATTCTATCTGTCATTCGCTGACTTTGCAAATAATGTAGCGGTTCTCTCTGTAATGAACAGCTTAAATTTTATGCAGGTATGACACAAAACCAGTGATAAGAATATATATCCTCGAGTTTGCGTGACACATGCCTATTTACATCATCAATATATTTTTACAATTGTTTCATTTACTATCCACAGTGTAGTCCATGTTTTGGACAGAAATAAACATCGTGTTTTGCACCTCCATATTTTTCAAGGAGAAAGTATCGAATAGGCGCGTGATAATTCGTAACATCCTGAAAATATGCTCTCTGTACGGACGAAACCAAGGATTTTGTTATCAGTGAATTGAAGCGGCTTAACGATAATGGAGAAAGTAACCTCCTCATCGGAAATTTTCGGGTAGTCCTACGTGTCCGCCAAACATGGATCATCCGGAATAAGTGCATGCGCCCATACCTAGCTCAAAGTGTGCAACTCCTACTGAACTCGATGGCCTGATTGCAGTATAGAAGATGTCCACAGGCTACTCGCCAGCCTTGGCGGCATGAAACCTGCCGGACCCTCTGGACTTCACCCGCGTATTTTAGCGTCTTTCTGGGCTATCATCTTGCCTGCGGTGACGGATCTATTCAACAGATCGCTGTCCGAGGGTGCATTGAAGAACGAATTGAAGTTCTTAGCCGATTCGAAAAGCCGATGACCCAAGCAATTTAGATAATTACCGACGGATTTACTTCATCATTGGTTTGGCGAAGGTTGTCGCAAAGCTTGTGAAAAAGGGCTTCCTTCTGCTGCAGGAGTCGAAAGACCTACTAACGTCGGCACAGCATGGTTTTTAAGAAGCGCCGCTCCTGCATCGCCAATCAGCTGTTGACGTTGTAGGAGTGGTTGAAATCGTTGAACTGGGGATGTCAGGGGAAGTTATCTAGATTGATTTCAAGAAAGCTTACAATAAAGTGAACCATGAGGTCCTCATTCAAAAGTTAAGGATGTATAGTGTTGGTGATGCACTGCACCAGTGGATCGGTGACTTCCTCATTGGGAGAAGTGAGGATAAAATTGGATGACCTCCTATAAGAATGGTAACCCTCTTATAGCGGTGTAAACCAAGACATAGTGCTGGAGCCAATCTTATTCTTAACCCGCATAAATAAAGTGCCTCTGCTTCTTCTGACGCGCTACGCATTTTTTCAGATGAGCTGAAGATTTGGATGATTATTTATTCTCTCGGCGACAGGGAGGTCGTTCAACAAGACCTCGACCGCTTATATCAATTGTCTTCAGAAGTTGACCTACCGGGCAACTTGACCAAGTCCTCGTTTATGAGTCTGGGAAGGGGTGGTAATATGGGTGCATACACCCTTGCCGGCCAAGCGCGGCATCCCACTAGTTCCGTAAAGTATCTAGAGTTACCCTCACGCTGTGATATGAAGTCTGTCGACAACAAGAACAGAGAGTAAATAAGGCAAACGCGCCTGCATTGAGCACTTAGACTCAGCTTATGCACTTGGTCTGAAGAGATTGATACCCGTCTGTTCTCTTCCATAAGAGGACCGGGGATTGAGTACGGTTCACCCGCCCATTGCCCTTTCACCTTAGATTTGGTGCCGGGACTGGAACGCGTTCAGCATGTAGCTACCTGGCTGATCTCAAGGTTACGGGGTATGTCTTACTTAGACAGATGTAGGAGACTAGAGCCTTATACCCTGTTATCTTGCCGGCTTTGAGTTGATCACCCAATGATGCACCGTATTTTTCACCTGGGCTACTCCCCTAGGTTGAAGCCGCTGCTTCACGGTCGCGCACGAAGCAGCACAAGCGAACGCGGGCACAAACTTGTCGTACCGAAATCAAAACATACCGCTCACCCTCTAGGCTTCGAGCGTCGAGTGGTGAAATATTGGAACAAATCACCGGAGAAGCTAGTCGAGGTGAAATCGGTATCGGAAGTTAAGATCTTTCTTGTCGCCCATTTTGCGGACCACAGATATTGGGAGCTTATCGCACCCGGATAATATGTAGTGCAGTCGCAATATATTGTCACCGCGCAGGAATCAGCGACGCGATTCCGCGCATGTGCCCGATCCACCTAGGATGGAGCAACACAGATTTTTATTTTCTCGCCGTCTATTCTCAGCATTCAGTGATGGATGAAATAAAATTGTGTGGTGATGAGAGAATATTTAAACAGAAATCCAAACTTGCAGCATTTAATTTCCGCTAAAGGTTTGCTGTACGCTGAGACATTCTGTAAAGCGGTAGCATAAGATGGAGGTGTTTTCTTCAGCTGAGTAATCGAAGGTGTTAGCAGAGACCAATAGAAATTTGAGATTTATTTGTTGTATGAGGCAGACGTGTTTGAAATGGCTCAACCGGCCTAAGCCTTACGAATTTACTATAAACTTACCTATGTGATTTAGTGAAAAAATGCAGATGATGAATGCTTTAGTAGACAGAATCGTTTAACTTCTCATTGTTGATTGATATGTTTGCCTGAGGGCAACGAGTAATGAGTAGCTAAGTAAAATTAAACGAATGATAAAGATGATTGAAGATAGATATTTGTAATCAGCGTTTCCTTCCTATCTCACCCTTTGGTATGGCTGTAATGTAGGCGTGGCTGAGTAGGCAAAATATGATGCGTGGATATATAAATGATTATCTCAATGTTAGTATGCAAGTCTGCCGCAACGCGCACACGTTTTTGTGTTCGTGATGTACGCTTTCACAAGGTGGTCAGGAAAATCGCATGAAGTGGTTTATGTCAACTTTTTCTCTTCCTTTCGATGCACCACTTTACGAGGACCTGGCCCAATAGAAACAACATACTAGATACATTTTATACATATTTGTTATAAGCAAAACCTCGAATTCTGTCTTATCTTCAAATGTCAATTCTTTTTGAAATTGGTTTACGACATTTATCTTACGTGTTGTACGGCCAGACAGTTAAAACCAGCTCTTGCAATATGGTTGCAATCCGCTTGCTCTTCTTCAAATAGGGAGGCGGTTCCAGATTTCAATGTTTTGGTTTACGTAGAAGTACCTTCTAATATTATTTTCGCTTGGAACACTAAGGGCATGCAGTTGCTATTTCTGATTTCTTGCATGCCTTCCTTTTTGAAATGGATAGTGATTTTTGATGCCGATATACGCTTATGGGCCAAGTAAATTTGGATGTTGTAGCCCTACAACGCTCGGCGTGGTTAAGTTTTGCGCATGATTAAACAAGGTCTTTCCGGATGACCGCCGCAAATTCTCTAGTCACACGCTTACTTGAAATTCCATCTGCCATGGTGAATAAATGTAGTTATCGCTTTTCCCCAACTGCTGACGTACTGAATGCAAGTATTAATACCTTGAGCATTGTCAAGTAGCTCTGCATAAGAGCAGAACTTATGCAAGGCTGTATGATTAATGCAACAATTACAAGTTGAGTCACTGCTTATAGTTTGGGTCAGACTTCGATGCTGCACGGCTGCTAGAGGCTTTACTGTTCAACTTCTACCAAGGAAACTTTTGGCGCATTTCACCGTGCGACACCGCGCATTTCAAACGGTTGGGTTCAGCATAGGTTACTAATTTTCAACGATCCAATCCCCATTTGAACGCTGTTAAATATTTGTTGCCTTGGCCAACCAAGGTAGATATTTTGGTTATTAATGTTACAAACAACACATCTCACCTGCTGCTACTTGTGTTTTACTAGTAGTCTTATCCAACTTTCAAGTCTAATTCGTCCGATCTATAGTTCAACATAGGCATACCAGACTTTTACAATTCGGTATGGTTGCATGTATGTACGTTTGCCAAGGTAAAGCGGGGTAGAATACATAGCCTGTGATTAAGCTGAATTTTCTATGGCAACGATCAATCGCTTTAGATCGATGTTATTACAATTCACAATGACGGGTTCAGCGTTTTGTCCATCGATTCCCTAAAGTACTGTGAGAAGTGCCGTCCTTTCTGCCTTAGCGATGAGTTTTTGAGCTACTTATAAGTAATACGTCGGCAAAGAAAATATCTCTAAAGGCTCGGTTCGTGAGTACGCACAAATATGACGCTATAATTTTCTTCTGCTCTATCACGCAATGAAAAGTTCGTTGACGTTTCACCTCGCTTATCTTACAGTCGGGCCGGTTGCATTTAACGTTGTCCAACCACCAGCTAACCAACTTTTGGACCGTATTTTTCCCAACAGTCCAGCGGCTGCAGCCGGTCTTTCTCCGGGACAGTACATTTTGGAAGTAAGTGTTACAAGTCAAAGTGCCACCCAGCACCATTGATTCATGTAGCGGCCTAATTTTCATTGTTCCTATATTTGTCCCTGCTACATCAAAGGATTCTTGGCTTTGTTATCGGCACTATAAGAGCATTGGCAAGTCATTCGAACACGGCTATTTTGAACCCGACATTTACTTGAGTTTCTAGCCGATGTGTATGCATTTCTAAAGTGAAAACTATGTAAACTAGAATTTAACCATCTTAAAATCCGGCAAATTTGATGGGGCTTTACGAAACGAAATTGCATTGCGGGTTCGAACGCCGAGGATGTTATTTCCGTAAAGCAATTGCAGTGACCTTGGCAGCGAGTATGCCATTACGGTTAATTATATTAATCATCCATTCACTGAAGTGAATAAGTGAATGAAGTGGGAAATTATTTTTATAAAATGATTAAATGTGTAGTGTCCACAAGTACTCAAGAGAAAATGCATAAGCTTGAAGGGCGATTCACGTCTTATACATGACAGCCGAGGATGAGCCACGCTATATAACACTGAGAAATCAATCATGGCGGTCCGCCGTATTCACTCAAAGTTCAGTGGCGTAAGTTGCTGATTCGTAAGGGTGTGGTTTTGAGTTCGTATCCGAAAAGATCCGACGGATATGCAATACTAATCAGGCAAACTTGAACAACAAGTCTATCTGGTCATTTCGTAGATATAGGTTCATAGGATTGTAGAGAGCAGAAGGAGAAATCCTTTGTCAGCTCCATCGCTTCCCGATCATTGTGTGGAGGCCGCGATTCGATGTTATGCGGTAATCCACAAGGGACCTTGACAGCTACACTGGAAGCTGCAAGGACCCAGCGTACTCAAAAGATAAGAGTCTAACATTCGCTTGAAACATTCCTCCGTCTGGGCATCGACCACATACTTCGGCAAGTTATTCCAATCGTTGACTACGCGAGTTGATAGAGCGAGAGCAGGATGAATCCGAAGTCTTCTGGGTTTAAGCAGTTTCCAGTTGTGGCCTCGAGTTGAACTGTTTGGATTGGATTGAAAGCACGCCTGCAGCTCCGTCCCCATCTCTCCTCTCAGGATGCGCCTGGTGAAAATCAGGTCACCGCGACGTCGGCGATAATCCAGGGTGAACAGATTCATCCGCTGAAGTCTCAGGGGATAAGGCAAGTCCCGTAACTCCAAGATGTATTTCGATCCACGCCGTTGCACCTTCTCAATTAGGTCACATTCGAACTTGGTGAGAGGGAAGAGGGCAGGTAATCCGTATTCGAGAATGGGGCGGACATGGGAAGTAAACAATAGTCGGAAGACATCCGGAGTCAAACGCGAGAAGGCTCGTCGTATGGCGTGGGACATCCTGTTGGCAGCAGCAACCCTTCGTAACGTGTCCTGTGTAGTCCGTAGATCAGATGACACCAACACGCCGAGGTCTTTTTCTAGGATTGAGGTTCTGAGCAACGTCCCACCGATGTGATACGTCTCGAAAGGCTCAGAAGCACCAATGGGAAGGACCGAGCACTTATCGCGATTTATGGGCAATCGCCATTTGACTGACCACTCATGTAACGTGTCAAGTGTAGCCTGTAATCGGTCCGCCTCGTCAAGACAGGATACCTCCATCCACAATTTCAAGTCATCAGCGTAAATCAAGCAATCCAACTGAAGTTCCGCCGGAAGGTCATTGATGAAGATCTTGAAAAGTTCCGGGCCCAGGACCGATCCCTGTGGGACACCGCTAGTCATGAGCACGGAAGCGGAGTAAGTCTCGTTCACGTCGACTCGCATTGTCCGGTTATCCAAGAAATCAGCGATCCAAGAGAGAACGTTCCCAGAAACACCGATTAATCGTAGTTTATAAAGGAGTCTTTCATGAGGAACCTTATCAAAGGCCTTGCTGAAGTCGACAAAAATAACATCCAGACGTTTCCCAGCGTCTAGTGATTTCGCCCATCTTTCACGGGCCACAAGCAGATTCGAAGAACAGGAGCGCGCCCGCCGAAAACCATGCTGCGCACAAGAGATGACGTTAAGGTTCTCGAGGTGGAAAAGAAGTGCCCGCTTGAGAATCCTCTCCATTACCTTGCACAATATTGACGTTAAACAGATAGGTCGATAGTTGGCAGGGTTTTGACGATCCCCTCCTTTGTGTATGGGTTTAACAATCCCCACTTTCCAAGCGATCGGGAGCCGTCCAACTTTAAGGGAATGTCGAAATATCCGGCAAACGGGAGCGGCAATGTAATCGGCCACAGTCCTGAGGAACAGCGGATGCAACCCATCAGGACCTGGCGAGGAGTTCGGATCTAATTCACGAATGCCTTTGGCAACGACATCAGCGCTCATTTCTACATGCTCCAACGAAGAAGGGAGTATTGGCATCGCGTCACTGGGAAACGGCGTCTCCATCGAGTAAACAGATGAATATTGCATGGCCAGGAGACTGGCTTTCGCAGCATCATCGTCAAGCAAACCCACATGAGCCAAGGAATACAGAGCAGGAATACCACTGCCTGCTCTGGTACTTCTCTTCAGGTAAGAGAAGAGTGCCTTGGGCGTTGTCTTGGATTGCAAAGCCAAACCGAGTTCGTACTTTTGCCGTTTCTCTCGTTTTTTGAAGTTGCAGATATTCTTGGCCACTTTATATTCCGAATAGTCAGACCCGGATTGCGTGAGTTTGAATCGGACCCACAGTTTCCGTCTTTTGTTCATTAGGCACCTCAGTTCTCGATCAATCCATGGAGGACCTTTGGCAAAAGGTCTTTTGTAGACAGGAACGACCTGCTCAACAAGCGAAATCATTTTGGAGTGCAAGAGGTTCCACTCATCGTCCAAATTCAGGGATTCGGGCATACTCCAGTCCACACTACTGGCAGCCGTTTGTAAGCGTTGGGGATCAACACGCCAGAAATTTCTGCGGAGGCGACCTTGGTTGTGGAGAGTAAGTCGTCGAGTCCAGAGGAATGAAACGACACAGTGATCGCTTTTACCAACGGGCTGAAGAACGGCTAGGTCGGTGACATCTGATTGTGCCGGTGAGAGTACAAGGTCGAGGATATGGGGTGTTTGTCCTGCAATTATACGAGTAGGCGCTGTGACATGTTAGAATAAGTTACATTCGATAACCGTCTCTAGAAGAGCGGAATCAAAAACGTTTGAAGCGGGAACACAATGTAGTTGGTCCCAGTCGATACCCTGGGCATTAAAGTCACCCAGTAATAAGCAGTCCTTACCTCCACCATGCATTTTGATCGCGTCCAGCAGACAAGCTCCGGAACCCAATGGGGCCCTGTAGACTACACCGACCATGAGAGATCTGCATCCGTCATGAACACGGCACCAGAGAGTTTCGAAGTCGCCATCGCTGCCACAGGTAGCTTCAACCAGATGGGCCTTGAAGTCCGTCTTCCAGTAGAGTATCACGCCTCCCCCAGGTTTTCCTCCATGGCGGTCTGCCCGGTAAAGGTGGTATCCAGGGATCTGCACCTCTGAGTCCAGGATATCCGAGGACAACCAGGTTTCGGTGAAAGCTATGAGATCCGGCCGATTCATGGAGACAAAAAGCTGAACTTCGTCTAGTTTGTTTCTGAGACTGCGCACACTGGAAGAAATTACGCGCAGTCCATTCTTCAACTCTAACGCCCGGGCATTACAAGGAGTGGCCTCCAACGAGTTCTTGGCGTTTTTCGAACCACGCGAAAATCCACGATATGTAGGTCCGTCTCACCGTTATCACGACGACATCTAAGTTCATCCACCGCTTTCTTCATTTTTACTCGGTCCTCCGGAGAGAGGTCTCGTAATACGAAAAATGGTTCTCCTTTAAGACGCGGAGCTCGTCGGAGAATACGATGGACTTCATCATCGTTTTGACATACAATCTTCAAGGGACGGACCTTAGAGGAGTCCTCCTGTTTCTTTCCAAGGCGGAAAGCCGAGACGATGTTGATTCCTGGCTCACCTTCATCGAGCAGTAAGGAGATCATGCGTTTTAGAAACTCTTGATCATCCATAATCCTTTCAGCTGGAGTGGTTTTGGACGACTCAGGAGCATTTATGATGATTAGGCAACGGCCACGTGAGGGTGATTTGTTGTTAACAGGGATCTGCGAATTGTGGAGAGGTGGACCCTCCTTAAGCAGTTTTTCTAGCTGACCGACTCTATCCAGAACTAGCTTCAACTGCGATTGTGAAGATAATGGTTTGCTTTTCACCTTGACATCAGTCTTGCCCATACTTTCAGCCACTCGTACTGGCGTGGAAAGGGGCGCACAATCCTTCGCTACAGATGCATAAGTCTTGGTATTTGGGGCTTTACCGTGGTCTGATTTATTTGGGCTGCGACAAATCTTATCAAATCACAGTACTTTCTATTGCTCTTTGCAAATTGAAGATTAAACCGGTAATTAAGTTTCACAGAGTCTGTAAGCCAAGAATACTAGGTTTGGTTCGGTCGCTATGTGTTACTGATTTCCATTCTCCAAGTCGGGTTCATTTACCTTTACTACCAAGTGTAAATGCCGCGTAAAATTGACGTTGTATGCGAATAACACCAAAAACGGCTTCATATCATATGCATTTATGGTGACCGAAGAAGCCTTCGATTCGGACAAGGAATTGGTGGAACTTTGTTTAGAAAAGCATTTATCCGCCGTGCTACTGTTTCATTTAATGGTAAAATAAATCTTCAGTTATGCGTTAATGCAATTGGTAACTGTGTTCGCGTAGTTCATTTCCGGTAAAACCTGTTTGCTCATGGCATTGCACAGATTTGATGCATTTCACTACAGTCCATTAACAATGACTATGCGGTTAACTGCAGCTCACCATGGTCACGAATTAATTTCGATATGTATCCTGGCAGAGCCTTCAAATTCGGCCGTGCTTTGTGATTTCCATCCACAGGATTTGTCAACACAAAAGCTCACATTCACTGTATTTTATTCATTTGTTTTAACTCCTCAGTTTGTCATTGCGTGAATCTTGTCATGATTACCTACGCT